TCTGTTTTGGAACTCCAGCCCCCCAAAACTCTGAACACTGGTCTCGCATCAGGCGTGTCATGTCAAAACCATCAGAGGCCGCCCAGTTACTGGTGGCACGGTGGAGATGACATGCTGCTCGTACAGCTTTCGGTTCCGGACGTGCCAAAAGTTCCTGGGAACAGGTAGGTCAAATTGTTGACAAAGCATATGACAACACTTGAGCACCACGGAAGAACTCAAACTTACAGTGAATGATGTGGTCTGCGTTGAAGATCCCGGAAGCTAGAATTTAAACCAGCGTCAACGAGCAAGACTACATTAGAGCGAGTCCCGTGCAGCTTTCGAGAGTTTCGAGAATCGCTCTTTGAAACACTCGTGTCCTGCTTGAAGAACGTCAGATTCCGATTATCTCAGCAGCCCTAGCTTGGACTAGCACCGTCGTTTCAAACAAGGCCTGTGCGACGCTTCTTGCAAAAAATGCCTCTCCTCCAAAAATCACTGCGTTCACATGTTCTTCGTGGCTGAGCAGTTGCCCCTCGCAAAAGCACTTGTTGCCTGCACTGGCTTAGCAGGAGTGTTGTGTGCCCTCACGGGTGATGTCGCTTGCTCGGTCTCGGCCCGTTTCCCGCTCTGGCCTGCTTTTATTTCTAAGTGGTTTCGTCACACTGCTTCGTCTTGTTTTGGGCTTCTCTCCTGCGGAATATCCCCGATTGTGACAAGGAAGAAATTGATGCCTGGGTAGAGCTCGCAGCCAGCTTGGAGATCTCTATGGGTATTCGGATTCCGGTTTGCAGCGGCGTGCATCGGTGTGGTAGTGCACGTAAGCTGAAATGGTCGCCACTGGATGCCATTTTGTGCGAAAGGCTCATAAGCTCCACCGTGCCTGTGGTCAAATCGACAAGCATATTGGTCATCACTTACTGTAGTTTCCAATCTCCACGGCTTTAGTAGCAAGCTTCTTGGCCAACACGGCCCTGCGAGCGTCCTGGAAGCATTTCTTTGAAGGAATTGAAGGAATGGGCTGCGTGAAGGCTTGTGGTTAATTACCGGGGTGTGTCAGTCCTTGCTTCGGCCTGACTCTGCACCGCCTGTACACCGACAAGACGCGAACGAGCGCCTCGCGAGACTCGCTCCCCGCGCGGTTGCATAATCTGAAAGCAACCCCAACGCTCGAAGGGCACGGCTCTAACCCGCTTTAGCAGCATGACAACACCAAAGCCCAAAGCCTCAAAGGCACGGCTTCCAGGAACCGTACATCACCATGTCGGACAGGCGGAAGACCTCGGAGAGCTCGGGGAGCCGGTCGAGGTCCAGGCCCGAGGGCCTCGCTGAGAGCCCCAACTTATGGGTTTAGGGTTTAGGGTTTAGGGTTTAGGGTTTAGGGTTTAGGGTTTAGGGTTTAGGGTTTAGGGTTTAGGGTTTAGGGTTTACGTGCTCAAGCATGCGTACGTCTCTGATCGGGTTTATGAATCGGGTTGATGGCTGGGGTCTAGGGCTGCTTGGCTTCAGGGTGTAAGATGTAGGGCTGTTTGCAGGGCTTCTTCGGCTGATTGTCGAGGATTTCTAGCACTCCGGGATTGTCAACGACAATTCGAACAGCGTAAACGTGAAGTTCTTATCGCTTGCATTTCGGGCATCTGCTGACGGTGAATTATTCGCTTTCTTTCGGTGTCTGTCAAGGGATCAGGGTGACAGGACTCAAGGCGGGGCCATACAACAAGCAGCTTCATTTCTTCCTCTTCTGCTCTGTCTGAGCTGAGTTGAAGCGTGGAGCTTCCCACTGACAACACGGAGGGAACATGATTGGTTCTTGAGTCCGTTCAAACATGGTAAAGCACCTTTGTACCAAATCCTTAGTGCCAAGGGCTGAGGATGCTGCGGTTGATACAGGCATGCAGTTGCTGCATATCTTGATGGAAGTTTGGTAGAGCTAGCCAACAAGCTATCTACAAAGTGTTGAAAGGTCATCCTGAATTCGACTTCCGGAGGATCCTATCATAAATTGAGATATTGCAACAATGTTGTGGCCTGGATAACTGGCCCATGTGTTCCTCTAACACATTCCTTCTCACTCGAAACGTGCTCCATCGGTGTGATCCTGTTCCGTGTAACAATGCTCACCCGATGTTCGTATATTACCTCCGACCTGCGTCATTCTACACAACGCTGTGTACATGGCGCATGTTATTATTGAGATGCTCAGAGCCACATGGCCTGACGTAACCTAAATTTGGCGAGGCAGGCCTTCCCAGCAGGTGAAAGGAGCGAAGCAGCGGGCCAAGGCGGAATGCTCGAGAGACGTGGGAGAGAAAGAAGAGCAGTGGGTACCGAGTCCAGTGGTAGAGCCAGCACTGAGCCACGTAGTTCTCGTAGCTCGTAAACCACGACTCCCCTTCCCTCGTTGTGAGGATCACTTTGGCCTTCGGATAGGCCCGCCTCAAGTCGTCAAACATCGCGGGGACGACCGTATCCAGCAAAGCCCCTTTCTCTGGGATGTCCTCAAAGACCTTGTGCAAGTTGGGAACTTTGACCCTGCCGACGTAGAAATGTGAGATAAACTCGAAGTAGCGTGTCATGTAGCCAAGCCAGTGTGTTGTGTTGTACCCGAGCCCTTGCAGTGCTTGCTGCATTGAGCTTGTGCTGGTCCGCGACACACCGGCAACAAGGACGTCCACATTTCCAGTACGATGATCTTTGCTCGCGAGGTCGTCATCTTTCAGCTCCCAATCAGCTGGCTCAGTCTGCAAGGGGACGAACGTGCTCGAGGCAAGGGCGACAATCAGCACCAAAGCGACGACACTAGCAGCGACAGGACTGCAACATGCTGGCAACGTCGTCATGGCTCCACAACCCTGCCCAATGCTCCTGTGCACGAGCTATTCACGAAAAGCTTCACGCTGGCACATGTCCTTCTTCATGAAGCCACTCGCAAATTCGTGAATGTCATCTCAATGATGGTCCCCGTCTCTTGAACCATCCACGAGAATGACATGGCATTGCATGTGTGCCCCGTGTGGTGCTTTGATTCGTGGGGTCGATTCATTGCAGACATGGTTCTACACTCGAACGATTGTCTGCTTTAGGGTCGAGGTTTCGGGTTTAGGGTTTGGGGTTCGTGGTTTAGGGTTTAGGGTTTGGGATTGGGTTTTGAGGGCGCTGTGAACTGCATGATCTAGAGCGCCAACGCATAAACTGTAAGCGTCGAAAGACCATGGCTACATCACCACCATCGTCATAAAACCCCGCAGAACCAACGTACACGCGAAAGCAGAATCACAATCTGAATAACAAACACAAGCTAAGGATCAGCGTGGCAAACCCTAAACCCTAAACCCTAAACCCTAAAGAACAGGAGCTAAAGAAGACCGAGCAGGCCTGTGTGCCAACTTCAGCCGTCTGCCTGACAGCGCCGGCAGCATGGCAGGTTGTCGAAGCATGTAAACCCCGAACCCCAAAACCCCAATCCTAAACTTAAACCCTAAACAAAAGGCTTCAAAGTTAAATTCCTTTCGGTATCGGACTTGGGCATTGCAAAAGTTTTCGTTCACGGTGTTCCATGCTTGCGGCCTGAGGACCTGTAGGGCGTGGAGGTTTGTGACTTTCAAGCAGCGGGGATTCGGCGCATGAGGGTTGGCAGGTTCGGCGCCGAGCTAAGGGAATCGAGGCTCAAGGATTCTGAGATTATAACAGTTGAGACCCCGCCCCACGCTGGCACAGCAGAGTTCGGGCTTGGGGTTCAGGGACGTGCCTATAGTCTCCATTGTAGCTCCTTTTTTTGGGGGTTTACCTTTGAGGATCCTTGATATAGAATTGGTTAAACCCAACAAGAGGAATTACAATGGAGCCTGTAGGTGAAGTTTTAAGCTTCCAAGTTTAGGGTGTGTGGCTTGGGGCTATGGTGTTGAGAGCACGAACTGCTCTTGCTGCGAATCCATATCATAACCTTCAGAAACTCAAACCTTCGAGAGTGAACTGCAATGCGGGAAGCAGAGTGATAGTTCGTGATGATCGAAATCTGATAGACTCCAATTCAAACGGGCCAGGTGGGGCTATTTCACAGCGCCGTGAACCTTGAAAGCAGTCGTCAAAGCATTCACCTTCGAAGATCCTAGAATCCCGAGCCCTTCCTGTCATAACCCTAAATCCAACCCGGCGCCCTCAAAACCCAGAGCTCTAAATCCTCAACCCTAAACCCCCTGAACTCTAAACCCTAAAAGCCCCTAACTCCCAATCCTCAACGCAGCCTCGTGAGACTGGCTACCAAACGCTGGATCTCCATCTTCGCTTGGGCCTCAGGGTTTCGGGTTGAGGGTTTAGGATTTAGGGTGTTTAGGTTTTAGGGTTTAGGGGGCATCACGGACAGACTTGATAATCGATACCACTGGTGCTGTTGCTGTGCATGCTCGTCTTTATTATGGTTCTGAGTTTGTGATAACCTCGCACTAGCTGTGAATGTTGGTATGTTTTTTGTATTTCTATGGTAACGATTTCCACATCATTGCTAAAGGTATTTGCGAGTGTTGCTAGTGGTACTATGGTTACTGTTGATGTGCTATCCTTCTGCATCTTGTTGGTTATAGTATCGCGGCTGTTGCTTCTGGCACGGCTCTCATTACGAATGCGATTACTGTAATTACTACTACTAGTCGTACTTCAGGACTGGCAGTAGCAGCAGCAGCCGTCACAGGAACAAGAGTCGTCGCCGTCGCAGTCTTGATGGCAGGGGCGGTGCTGTTGCCTAGACCTGCCCCTGCTACTGCTGCCGCTACTGCAGCTGCTGTCCACCCAAAGCCGCCAAAATCTGTACAAGCCTGGAAATTTAAAAAAAAAACACCCGAAAATCCTTTAACACCCGAAATAAACCTAACCCTAAACTCTGAACCCAAACCTAAATCCCGTTCTCAGGCACACGCCAGCTGTCTCTCGAGGCTTGCTTTGACCTCCTGGAAGACCTGCCCGGAAGCTTTGAGGCTCTGGGTAAACCGTCAATTTAGAGCTCATCTATCTATCTGTCTATGTATCTCCACAACTTTCCATATTTATATATATATATATATATATTTATTTATTTATTTATCTATTTATTTATTTATGTGTATATATATATACTGATTGTGTGTGTATATGCAACCCATATTTGGAGACCTACAATGCAGAATCCGACTGTCAGGCTTTGGAATTAACTTTAGGGCTTATGGTTCATTTACGGTTCAGCAATCCGGGCTCAGAGCTTCGATTTTGGAACATGACCATCTTAGGCCAAGTATCCTGCGACAGAGCCGATGCGCGTGGATTGTGCTATACCGAGTTGTCAACGCGCAAATTCACCTTGCTTAACAACCGTTTCTCAGTCGTAAGATTCTGACCTCGACGCTGTCGATAGAAGGCTCCTAAACCCTAAACTTTAAACCCTATTCTTTACCCTAAACTCTGAACCCCAAACGCTAAACACCAAGCCGATTCAGTCTCGCCTCTAGACGAACATAGAATCAGAAGCCTAAAGAGTTACAGTTACTATTCCTCTGGGTTCCTCAGTTGATGATAATAGAACAGAATATATATATATATATATATCCCATAAATCCTGGTCTAAGAATGAAGGGGATCCCGTAGTAGGATCTTTGGAAGTTCTTTCCGGTAGTGTTGGGAGTCTGACCTCGGAGCCTTTGAGGCTTCCCAAAGCCCTAAACCCTAAACCCCAAAGCCCTAAACCCTAAAGCCCTAAGCCCTAAACCCAACCCTAAAACCCAACGCCCTAAACCCCAAAGCCCCAAAGCCCTAAACCCAAAGCCCCAAACCCTAAACCCCAAAGCCCTAAACCCTACACCAGAAACCCTTAGCCAGGCTCTGCATTTAGTTGTTGGCTTGTCTCGCCCGCTCGGGCTATTGCCTTCGTCATTCGTCCATTATCCCCAAAATAGTACAGCACCCCAAAAAAAAGGACCCGTGAAGGGACTCGAATTTAGAGAACTACCCACAAAAAAAGAACTCGTGGTCTTTGCAACGATTTTAGGTCTTACTTGCAGTCTGGTTTGGAAACCACCTGAAGACGGCGTGGGGTGGCCTGAAGACATACCCCCAGCTTCAGGGTTCAAGGTTGCAGGGTTCAGGAGAAGCTTTCAGGGTTTGGTTTTTAGGGTTTAGGGTTCAGGGTTTAGGGTTTAGGGTTTAGGGTTTAGGGTTCAGGGTTTAGGGTTTAGGGTTTAGGGTTTAGGGCATAGCCTAAACGGAATTTGTGGACACGTCTTGAGGAGCCTCTGTGCTGACGCGGATGCGCTCGTACCTGGAGCAGCAACACTACGTCAGCCTTCCTCAGGCTCCACGGAGCAAATCGAAACTTACCTTTTTTCGGGTTTCGGCGAGTGGAAACGCTTAGTCTGAGGCGAAAGGCCAGCCCATGAAAGGAAGACTGTGACCCCCTTCCGAAGTCTGCATTCAGGTTCATTCAGGAAATGGGGCATAGGGTATAGGGTTCATGGATGTTCAGGGTGCGGCTTTTGTTCTTTGAGCTCCTTTTTCCGAGGCTTCGAATTCGAGGCCTTTCCCGGGAAAGGGTGCAGTGCTTAGCTTTGGTATATCTTGTACTGCGTGGGTTTAGGGTGTGAGTTTCAGTGTAGAAAACTCCAAACCCTCCCTCAAACCCTAAACCCGAAACCCTAAACCCTAAACCCTAAACCCAAACCCTAAACCCTAAGCCCTCAAACCCTAAAGGTTTAGGGCTTAGGGCCAGGAGCTTCGGGAATCCGAGATCGGGGATCTCTACAACCTTTCTGAGCTCAAGGCTTGGGGTTTTGAGGTCCTGTTGCCCTTTCAGCCCTAGCCCTAGGTCACAGGTCTTTGTATTTGGAAGAGCTGGTTTACAAAAACATCAAACCCTAAACCCAAAACCCCAATCCCCTAAAACCCCTCAACCCCAATCTCCTAAAACCCCTAAACCCCAGTCAGCCTAAAGCCCCTAAAGCCCCTAAAGCCCCTAAAGCCCGATCCCCTCAAGCCCCTAAAGCCCAATTCCCTAGAGCCCCAAAACCCCGACCCCTTAAAAGACCTTAAACCCTAAACCCTCCCTAAAGCCCCTAAACCCTAAACCCTAGACCCTAAACCCTAAACCCTAAACCCTAAAAGTGGAGCCAGTCCGAGCTGCTGCATCTGTGCATCTTCGCGGGCTAGGGACGCGTGCTCGACGTCCGGAAGCACCTTTCTCGGACTCAAAGTTTTTTTTTTTTTAAAGGGCTCTTTTCGTCCGCAGCTAAGCATCAGAATCCCCATTTCGGACTCAAAGTTTAGGCTTAAGGGTTTACGTCACAGTTTAGGGTTTAGGGTCCAGGGTGTAGGGTTTAGGGTTTAGGGTCTATGGTTTCGGGATTAGAGCTTAGAGTTTAGGGCTTAGTGGTTGTTGATCTAGGGGCTTTCATTGTTGGAACACTATAGGGTTGTATGCTGGCGGCCTCAATGGTTAGAATAGGGCTTTGGGGGTACAACTAAGCTGTGACTAGAGTGGGTAACACTGAAAAATGGCATGCAATATAGGGGCCTTAATGATTAGAATAGGGCTTTGGGGGGGGTATATTATACTATATGTATAATAAGGAACCCCCAAAACCCTGTTCTAATTTCTTAGACCAAGCTCTCTTTTTCGACTATGCGTCGAAGAGTCGCCGAAACTAGACTGCTTGCCTGGAACCCTAAACCCTAAACCCTAAACCCTAAACCCTAAACGCTAGACCCTAAACCCTAAACCCTAAAGGCCTTCTGTGGCCCACGGCATGTCTCGAAAGAGCGAGAACCCTGAAGCTGAAGATGCTGAGCCGTAAAGCTTTGACGCCTTAAGCCCACGGAAACCCCTGAAACCCGAAAACACCCTAAATGTAGGGGCCTTATAGTAATTACCCCTACTTTTTTCGGGTGGTTCCTTATTACAATTGTAGTATAAAGGGGCCCCAAAACCCTTATTCTAATTATGAAGGCCCCGATATTTCACCCTGAATTGGGTAAAACCCTAAACCCTAAACCCTAAACCATAGACCCTAGACCCTAAACCCTAAACCCTGAACCCTAAACCCTAAACCCTAAACCCTAAACCCTAAACCCCAAACCCTATACCGATCCTTGGGTCTCCCGCAGCATCAAGCCTTGCTTTCCACATGTCGCGCCTCAGGTGGCCGAGGGCTCAGGGAGCTCCAAAGCGCGATCTGCCGTCGATTGCTTTAAGGTACCTATCACATGTAAGGGGTTTAGGGTTTAGGGTTTAGGGTTTAGGGTTTAGGGTTTAGGGTTTAGGGTGTTGGGTGCAGGGTGTAAGGTATATGCTCTTAAAAAACCAAAGCTTCTGCGGCAAAAGGGTAGATAGAAGCATTGCCGTGAGCCTAAACTACATGACCTAGCACCAGAAATTGTGTGAGGTCTCTGGTAACCCTGCTGAACCCTTAGGCTTAGCACAACAAACCCTCAAGCCTTAACTGCCGAAGCCTACATCCCTGAGCCCCAAAACCTTAAATGCTTAAACCCTACATCTCTAATCGCTAAACCCTATAATAAGCCCTAAGCCCTAAACCCTAAACCCTGAATCCCTCAACCCTAATCGCTAAATCATAACTCCCTCAGCCCTCATTCCCGCAACCCCAAACCTTAAATCCCTAAAGCCGAAATCGCTTGACCCTGAATCCCCAAATCCATACCCTAAATCCGAAGTCACTAAACCCGTAAATTGCTAAACGCGAAACCCCCCAAATCAAGAAAACAGCAACTTCTGAACCCCTACACCCCTAAATCCCCTCAATCTTTAAAATGATTGAACCCAAAACCCCAAAACCCCGGAACCCCCAAGGACAAGTGAACCCTCAGACCCCGGCTTTTCCTCAGCAACTGCCACGGACTGCTGGAGACTCAGGATGCGGGCGTCCCGCTTCTGCACCCTGTGTGGGGGCTTCAGAAGTCGGATTACCAGGGCTTAGGGTTTAGGGTTTAGGGTTCAGGGTTTAGGTTTTAGGGTTTGAGCCTTAGTGGCGTGGGGATCTTTTGCGGTCACAGGTCTAGGGTTTTCGTGGCTTCGGGCCTCCCGGGACAAGGGTTGGGGGTTTGCGCCTTCGCTCTGGTTGCGAGAACTTGACGGGCTTACTCTTCAGCCGCTTTTAGACCTTTGGGTTTGAGGCTGAAGGCTTGTAAACCTTTGGGTTTCGGGTGAAGACTCATGAAACAAACCCCTGAACAATCTGCATGCGACGCCCTCTTTGCTACATCCAAGCCATCTCATCCTGAAGCTCGATCTCCATAAAGCTTCTGAAGGGGCTTAGATCAGTTTAGGGCTGCACGCAGAAAGCGAATCCGAGATCAAAGCCGATCAGCTCTCAGATCTGTCCCTAAACCCTAAAACCCTGAACCCTAAAACCCTAAAACCCAAAGCCCTAAAACCCTAAAACCCCAAACCCTAAACCCTTCAACCCTAAAACCCTAAAACCCTAAACCCTAAACCCTAAACCCTAAACCCTAACCCCCAAACCGGAAAAAGGCCCAGAGGATGATCCCATCCATCACAGCGGCTGCACTTCGACGCCATGCGACACCACCCAAGATCGGCACAGAAAACAGGACCCGAAAGCCCTGGGCCCCGTACGGTTTAGGGTTTAGGGTTTGGGGTTTAGGGTTTAGGGTTTAGGGTTTTGAGGCTCCGGCTCTGCTTCGGCTCTTTTTGCTCGCTCCTCGTTTTGGTCGGCCGACTCCTGGAAGGTTCGCGCGAGTTGGGGCTTTAGTACGCACTCTCGCGTCGAACTAGTGGAGTTTAGGGCACTTGAAGGGTGTAGAGTGTACCTAAACCCCAAAAGTAGGTAAAATAATGGCCCAAAACCTATACAGGGCTATGATTCTACATACTTTCGGGGTCCAGGTACTGGGGTTTAGATCTCAGGGTTTGCAGCTCCGCTTTAGGATTTGGTCTTCAGGATTCGGGCTTTATTTAGAGCACGGGGCTGCTTGCGTCAGTGGATTTTCAGCCCGACGATGCACGGAAATGGGTAGCTCTCTAAACTAGGGTCCCTGTTTAGATCCCCAATATCATACGGCACCCTGATATAAAAGGGACCCTAAAAGGGACCCTAAAAGGGACCCTAATTCAGCAAACTACCCAATAGCATTGTGACTTCTGGGCGGTGTTGGAAGGGGGCAAGCACGAGGCCTCTGGCATATTTCGAGAATTACAAGAACTAACTGGAAGTGCTTCTCTTTGAGTGTGCTGCCGTGGATTGAACTTGCAAACTTAACTGAACATGCACTTGAAGACAGCTACACCACCACGGGAAAACCATCAACTTTCTGCAAAGTCAGCCCAGCCATACAAGATTCCGTGGGTCCTGGACCACGTCCATCCTTGCTTTCAGACCTTTGACCTTAGGGGTGGCATATGCTTTCCTTGCAACTGCAACCCGTGCATGCGGAGGCTACCGAGAGGAGTCCACCCATCTTGAGATATGTTCCTGCATGGGCGCAGCATGTGTGCATACGTAAAAACAGCAGCAAGCAAGCAAGCAAGCAAGCAAGCAAGCAAGGAAGCAAGCAAGCAAGCAAGCAAGCATGCATGCAACATGACATACCTCGAATACCAAAAATAACAGAATCCCAAAATCCCGACTACGCCACATCCTGTCGAGACCTTCCTCCCCAATTCTCGGAGTCCAACTCTTCCCTACTACGAGTCAGAGGGCCTTTGAGATTCAGGGGCATGGTCTTCCCATGTAAGAACACGGCCGAAGCACAGTTTCATGCAGTTTCCCCAAAGGGATCCGTTTGGGTAACGAGTACTATTCCAGCATGACCCAAAAGGGAGTTTCCGAAAACAAGGGGTACCTTATTTTGGGGTCCTGATAATAAGGATCCTGCTATTTAGGGTACTATATTGGGGTCCCCTATTTTCGGAAACTCCCAAAACACTGACTGTGTCGTACAGTTGGCTTTCGCAAAAATCTGTACCACCGCTGCCTGCTCCTCGAGGTGAGCCCGCTTCATTTTCTCAGCTTCCTGGTGCAATCTGGCTGGGCACGTGAGGGTCCATGTGGGGGTTTAGGGTATGCCCTAAACCCTAAACCCTAAACCCTAAACCGATTTTGGGAAACGAGTTCCGAAACCCCGGAATGTCCCAAAACTCCTGGGTTCCCATAACGGTAATAGGTTGCAGTAAGGGCAAGTCATAAGGGTTTAGGGTTTAGGGTAAGTCATAAGGGTACTACAGTATGATGTTGCTATGTTAGGGTTTAGAGTTTGGGGGTTCACCCTCTTGGTAGTCCGAAGCTCAACATCTTGACACCACTTTACACCACAAGCCATACCTGCACCCTGGTAGGATTTACCATAAGCCCCCTAGACCCAACATAATAACAAAAACGCGAGAGTTGCCACATCTCCCCAACAACAACATGTTGCACAAACCGTCGGGTTTAGACTGTAGTGCTAACCATTACATAATGTATGTGCGCGTTTTATATATATATATATACATTTGTAT